AGCAGGAGGGCTGGGGGGACAAGGGTCTGGGCATGATGAAACCCTGCCAAGGGTGCTGTTCTCTCTTATGTGTGCACACAACCATGACTAAAACAAACAAACCATTTTAAAATAATAGAACTGTAGGATCAGCAGACGATGTAATGGCTACATCGCTGGACTCCCACATGGCCAACTGCAGTTCGAGTCCCAGATCAAGTGGCTTGAAACTCACGCCAGGCGCATGTGCATGTGTACCCAAAATCCCAGGAGGAGAATGGCGGAGAAGGGATTGTGGCATTGCCATCCCCCTGGGGGGTAATTTCTCGCTTTCAGTCTCTCTGGTGAGCACATGTCCCCTATATCAAAAAAGCTCTCTAACAAAAGAAAAGGAAAGAAATTTAACAAAATAATGCATGCACTATATGGAAACATTAACATTAAATTATAATAATATCCTGCAAAAAAATAAGAGAAAATTAAGTTAAAGATACACCATATTTTGTAAGTATTTGCAAAATAATGTTCCAGATTATGAAAAAAAATCATAACTAGGATAATAGGCAGACTAGCTGAGATTATTTGTGGGATGCCTATGTGGTCATGACAGAGCCTTTCTGGCAGAAGGTGCTTTGAATAAAATCTTTAAAATGATAATGGCCGAATTCAAGAAGTTTATAGAGTGTGAGCTGAAGTGTTTAAACACATGGGGTGGGGCTGGTCCTACAGTGCAGCACTGAAGTCCTGTGCAAGGGGGTCAGGTCCTCAGAGCCCACGGAGTAGGCTGTGATTTGAGTCCCCACCCCGGTGGCTTGAAAAGCTCTCTGGGCATATGTGTATGCACGCCCCAGGTCTCAACAGGATAGAGAAATGGAAGGGAAAGGATTGCAGCACGACCACGCCCCACTGGGCGCTTTCTCTCTCTCTCTGAACGTATGCACCCTCTGACAATAAAAAAAAGTTTTGGTTTTGGTTATTGTAAATGTTTTAAATGTATGTATTTATTTCCTCCATGAGTGAGAGAGAGAGGGAGAGATGGCATCCCCAGCAGACTGTCGATGCCATGCTGCTCCCCCAGGCTTCGGCCAGATCCAGATCACGGGCAAGCGTGAGCTCCCTGTACCCAGGGAGGCCCTGTCCTCCGTGCTGTTGGTGTGCCGAGCACACCCCTGGCGCAGGGCCCTTGCATGCACGCCGTCAGGAGCGCCTCCCCAGCAAGACGCACGGCTCACATCTCCACGTTACTCTCGGGAGGATCCCCCCCCCAACTACACTGCCTGAAACAGACCCCCTTCCTGGGCTTTTCGCCCTCACCCTCCTTCACTTCCTTTTTGCCACGTATCACTGCCCACCCGGATTTGAGACGTTCTCCCTTCCTAGAGCACGAGTTCAGGGGCGAGGAGCCTGGCCTTGTTTATTCTCCCTGCATCCCTGGCCTGGGATCAATGCCTGCCCGGGAGAAGCCTCGGATGTATTTGCCGACTGAACAAGTGAGTGAATGAGAGTCTACACAGCTGCATGTACTAGACAGTGATTTTCAACTTCAAAGAGGACCTAGACAGGGCATCAGGTTTTGAGCTGTTGTGTTTGTTTGTTCGAGATGGGTTAAGGGGAAATAGCTTTCTAGATCCTAGCATTGAGTCAAGAGGCCCCAAGGAGCTCAGCAAAGACTCAGACCCAACAAATGGGTACTTCCATGCACTTGGGGTCTCTGCAGTGGTCTGTGCATGGGGCTATGCAGACATAGAGGGAGAAACAGTGACTTCTGCCTGGGAGAGCCCAGGGAGGCTTCACGGAGGAGGCAATGCATGACACTGAAGAGTGTCTTCCGGGAAGGTGGGGCTCCAGTCCCATTAGGAGAACTAGCTGGTGGAAAGGCATAAATTCCATGGCCCGTGAGTGAGTGAACAGAGAGTTTCCGCAGAAAGCAGCAGGATGCTGAGGGCCAGGCCAGGAGAGTCACGGGTGGACAGCAAAGGCCTCAGACGCTGAGCTGTCCACCGGCAGCTCCAGGAGCAGTGCTGAGAGGCTGACGCCAGAGGGCGCTCCATCCTAGGACACGGGCCACGGGGTGCCTCGTCCTGAGCGTGCAGACAGGCGCCCCCCACCCCGGCCCCCGGGGTTCACTGTCCCGCTCTCAGGACGTGCGGCCCCAGGAAGCCTTTTGCTTCGTGTCTTGTCGATTTTCTTTTTCTAGGCAGTAACATTCGTAGCTGAGACGAGGTGCAGCAGGGACAACTCCCTGCTGTCTTAGAGCAGCATCTAAACCACTGTCCTCGAAATGTGGTCCCTGGGCCCAGCAACAGCAGCTGCATCTCCTGTGAACAGTGCGAAATGCAGGTTCTCGGGCCCCTCTGCAGAGCTGCTGATCAGACCCTCCCAGGGCAGTGCCGGCCGATCTCTGCACCAATAAGCCCTCACATGATGCGGCAAGCTGGAAGCTCGCTGGCCTAACAAAGCGCTACACAGCCTAACAAAGCGCTGCACAGCGGAGTCAGCACCCCCCAGGACTGATCCAGGGCTGCAGGAGGGCCGCAGCTCAGATGAGCAAGGGCTTCCTGGAGGAGGTGTCATAGCAGGAGTCAGACAGGTAGAGAGGGGGGAGGAAGGATTCTAAGCAAGAGGATGACTGTGCTGAGGCCTAGAAGAGAGAGCACTGAATCTCATCTTAGGAAAGAGGGGCTCACAGGCTGTCCACCTCCATCCCCGCCCCCCGTACCCTCTACCACGGCCCAGGTCTCCTGTTTGAAATACGCTGTCTTCAAAAATGTTCTAGATAATGAATAATTCATGTGTTTCCTACTATTTATTAATCAATATAGAGTTCCAATCAGAGTTTCTAATTAGCATGCATTGTCCAGACTTCCTGCTCTGAATTAATAATGACAGTAGCTCCCATTTGCCTGGACTGACTCTGGGCCAGTGCGGTTAAAGGCTTTACCTGGGCGGTCTCGTTCCATTGCTGCCAGGAAGCTCAGTGGGCACTCACCACCCCCGTTTTACTGAAGAGGAAACGGACACCCAAGAGGGGTGAAGTCAGCACAGGAGGCACAAAACTGGAAATGATCTAACCCGGGTCAGTCTCCTGCAGTGTGGGCTGGATTCAGATGCTTTCCTGTTTCTCAAGGGGTGACATTCCAGTCTCAGGGAGGATCCCAGCCTGTCGGCACGTACAGTCCATCCTGGGCAAGCGCGTAATCCCAGGTTCGCATTTGGGACTACTCAGGGGTGCCCGTTCTATCTCACGTGCTCCATAGGCTTCCAGGACTCCAGGCCAGGGTCACTGAGTCAGCCCACCCTGTCTCCCCTCCCGACTCCTCCCTCCACCTGCCAGACAGATTAGCAAGTGGAGGCCCAGGGCGGGAAGTGCAACCACCTGCCAGGGGCCCCTCCAGGCGTGCCCTGTTGACTCTAGAAAAGCTCTCCCTTGTCCTTAGTCCACTCTCCCAGCTCCTGCCCTTCCTCTCCCTCCAAACCTTCCTCCCTTGCTTTCGCCCTTCTCAGCCATCTGAGCCTGGCTCTGTTCCAGGCTCTGGGTGCTGGGGACCCAGGGACGAATAGGCTCTGGCGGGTCCTCCCCGTTCTCCCCGTGTCTCGCAGGTGAAGCGTGGTGGTGCTGCCACCTCCTGCACTGCGAAGCTCCCGCCACCACCAAGACAATTTCGAGCAAATGTCGTCAGCAGCGACACCGCTGTGCCTCGCCCACCGGCTCTGCAGGATGAACAAGCAGGACGGCCTCCCCCTCCTCGCCCCTCCGCCTCCTTCATCGCTCCCTCCCTTCCCTCTGTTCCGAAGACAGGCAAACTGCATGCCCCAGGGCGCGGATGTCTAGGGCGTACTCGCTGCTTCTCCAAAGAACCATCAGTAACCGGCCTGCTGTACCCGTTTCTCTCCCTGCCCTCCTGCCACTGGCGACTCAAGGCTAATGGATTTCCTCTCCTCCATACCCCAGTTTTACAGCCAGGCTTCTCCATCTGCTCGGTAGGCCAGTTCTGTCCGCCTGCGTTTGCCTTCGTAAATGAGCTCGAGTAGCACTTTCGTGTCTGTGTCCTAGGCATACAGACCACAGTCAGGCCTTGTGTCTGCCCTGGGGAAGCTCCCAGCCTGGCGCGGGAAGGAAGCGCTGCTAGTTCCATTCTCTGGGAAAGGTCTGTTGACAAGGTAGTTGAATCGTCACGCGCTGGCCTGGCCTGCACGCAGGGCATATTTATTACCCTGTGATGAGTACAGAGCAAACCCAGGGACCTCTGTGGCTTTTCCACCTCTAAAAGGAATCTTGGGGAGAAGTCTGTAATAGCCAGGGGAGACAGTCATGATGTAGTAGGTGCTCATTAAAAAGAAATTAGTGGTAGAGAAATGAAATGTAAACTTCAACCTTTGCCTTCAATCTAAATCCCTGTTAACTAAGGTGTAAATTCCTATCTAAATGGTACCTAGATTCATAGATCCGTGTATGTGTGCATTTTTATAAACGAGTATATATGGAGAGAGTGTAAGAGCGATATTAAAATACATATGTTATAACCTGTCGGGGGAGTCTTCAAAACTTCATGGAAATTCATATTATGAAACATGCATTTAAAAAGTTTTTTGCACCAAAATAAATGCATACTAATTTGAAATAACAGGTCTGAACGAGACCTAAGATGACAGTCTGAAAAGGGGCATGAATTCTGCCGAAACTAGATCAAGAACAAGCATCAAATCTATGGTGAAGCGTGGGTGGAAGAATGGTGAAATCACGATTTGCAAAAGTTTATGGGACAAGGTCTTAAAGAAATCAGCAGTTTACAAATGCATTACCAACTTTTTAAAAAAGAGTTATTTATTTCATTTTACTTCTTATTATTTGTAATTTGCTATAAGGCACATACACATGTGTACACATGAGAGAGAGAAAGCAAGCTGCCAGGTCTGGGACTCAAACTGCAGCTGACCATGTGGGAGTCCAGTGCCTCAACCACCATGCCACCTGCTGGCCCCTAAATTAGTCATTCACCAAGAGAGGAGACAATGTTGAAGATGATGTCTTTAGTGGAGACCATCCGCATCAATCTGAGAGGGAAAGATGCATCTGGTTTGTGCCCTCATTGAAAAGGATCAACAAGGGACCAGCAGATGGCATAATGGTTATGTCACTGGACTCCCGTGCAGCCGATCACAGTTTGAGTCCTGGACCTGGCAGATTATAACTCACGCTGGGTGAGTGTGCATGTGTGCCCAAAATCCCAAAAGGAGAATGGAGGAGAAGGGATTGTGGCACGGCTATCCTCCCTGGGGGGTGATTTCTTGCTTTCTGTCTCTCTGGTGAGTGCACATGCCCGGTAGGAAAAATCTCTAAAAGAAAAGAACCAACAATTAAAAGCAGAAAACAAGACCTAATGTCATAGATATCTCTCGTGGTCCAGCTTACACAATTCTGATATAAAAAATTAAAGCTGAGCTTAGCCATTCTGTCCCATTAGTTAAGAAAACACCAAAGCAGATTGGGTCAGTGGGAGCTAAGGTGTGCCATGAGTGAAGGCATCCCCTGGTTACACAGTGGTCCCAGGGACACGTGTAGCAGAGACATCCAGTTGGCCCAGCCTGGATAACCTGCCTCGCAGTCGCTGAAGCCTAAAGCTGTAGAGCCCCATCTGAGCTACAGATCTGAGCAATAAATAACTGCTTGTAAGCCACTGAACTTGGGGTGGACACGTTACACAGCAGTATTGCAGCAATAGCTAACAGGTACATGTGAATGTTTATTTGTAATAAGAAGGTATGTCACAGTGGGTCATAAAATATTAGCAGCTAGAAAATAGCTCAAATGTCATAGATCCAGGAAAACACATAACTTTCTTATTAATAATTGTCTGACATACCTCTATAATTTTCTATATTTTGGCTGCATTTTCTGTGACTGCCACTTCATATGTAACAATTTTGCAATTTCATCTTTTTTTTTCCTTTTTTTTTTGTTTTTGTTTTAATTTTTGTTTTTGTTTTTGCTATAGGGTGGATGCTCTCACCAGACAGACAGAGAGAGACAGAGAGACAGAAAGCGAGAAATTACCCCCCGGGCGAATGGTCACGCCACAATCCCTTCTCCTCTCGGGATCTTGGGCACACACGCACACGTGCCCGGCGTTGAGTTTAAGCCACCGGGTCCAGGACACAAACCGAGGTCGCCTACATGGGAGTCCAGCGACATAGCCATTACACTAACTGCTGGTCCCCAATTTCATCTTTTTATTGAGAGACTAGACAGATGATTCAGTGTTCCTCCAGCATGGTTTATTGAGGAATATTTTTAAACTGATAATTTAGAAAAGTTTTTTCTAGCTTCACAACTTGTTATTTATCATGTTGTGTAAATTTTTAGTATAGTTCGGCAAACTTGTAAAAACCTTTCTCAAGTTTCTTTTATTTTATTTTATTCATTGCCATTATTTTATTTTTTTAAATTGAAGTTGACCAGAGAGAGAGAGAAAGGGAAGTGAGAAAGCAAGCTGCCATGTCTGGGCCTCAAACTACAGTCAGCCATGTGGGAATCCAGCCACCATGCCACCTGCCAGCCCCACCTTTGTCAAGTTTCTTTCAAGACATTTTCAATTCTCTAGTGCCAAAACTAATCTGAAATCCTCTCTTTCTCTCTCTCTTTTATAGTTGCCAGGGGGCATGTGCATTCACCAGTGAAAGATAGAGAGGAGAAGAGGGAGAAAGCACCCCCAGTGGGGTGTAGCCATTCCCCAATCTCTTCTCCTCCATTTCTCCACTGTGTTGGGATTTGGAGCACACACACACATATGCCTGGTGTGTTCTTCAAAGCCAATGGGTCCAGGACTCAAACCGTATAGTCGGCCATATGGGATCTAGCTTATTTAACTGCTAGACTCTTTGTGTTGGCTTGTTTGTTATTGCTTATGTCATAGACAGAGTCTTGCTTGTGTTGTGATGCTCCCTCCTCAGCCTCCCACAGCTGGGGCTATAGACATGCACCCCATGCCCAGCTTTTAAGGTGGGTCAGGAGTTGGGCCTGGGCTTCCCACACAGCCTCAGCCTGCTGTGTAGCAGTGGCAATCAGCATGCAGTGCCGTGGCTGGGCTCCTCGATCTCTTAGAAGCTGGTGCTCACCATCAGCTCATCACTGAGTATCTGTAGTAGCGTATTAGTGTAATGATTTCTTAACTCAGTAATTTATGTCAACTAACAAAAACGTAAAATAGCTGCCCCATGTAGCCACGTGATCTACTCCTTATTCATTACATTACCAAAGATTTGGGGATCTTTTTAATACCTGCTTTCTAGATTTATTTCCTTTAAAGAATGACTGCTTTCGGGAACCAGCAGTTAGCGTAATGGCTATCTCGCTGGACTCCCACATAGTCGACCGTGGTTCGCGTCCTAGACCCGGTGGCTTAAAACTCACGCCGGGCGCGTGTGCGTGCGTGCCCAAGATCCCGAGAGGAGAATGGAGGAGGAGGGACTGCGGCGTGACCATTTCTGTCTCTCTGTCTCTCTCTGTCTGTCTGGCGAGCACACGCGCCCTATAGTGAAAATCTCTCCAAAAAAAAAAACAAAAAAAGAGAGACGTATCCAGCTACCAGTTTGGCGGTCCAAGGACCAGGGGCCCTCTCTGATGGGGGTCTCCTGGCTGCTCCCACATGGTGGAATGCAGAACACGGCCCAGGTCCCAAGTCTCTCACTCCCTCTTTGTTTATCAGTTTGCTATAGAGCACACGAGCTCCCCGAGCTCCCCGGTGAGAGAAAGTGAGAGCTCGCCCCTCCCCCTCCCCGGGGGGGTTGGCCTTGCCACAGTCCCTTTTTCTCCATTCTACTCTCGGGCTTTTGGACATACACACACACGTGCCCAGCATGTTTTTCAAGCCACCACGTCCAGGATTTGAACCAAGCAGTTGGTCGCGTAGGATCGAGCCAAGCAGTTGGTCTTGTAGGATCGACCCGCCTTAACCTCCATGCCACCTGCTGTCCCCACCCTCATTCCCTCTCCTTATAAACCCACCAAAAGTTCATCATGGGACACCACCCTCATGACCTTAATCCTAATCTCTCCCCCAAAGCCCACACCGTGATTGGATCAATTTTCACCCCTTAATCCTATCACAGGGGCTTAACACATGCATTCTGGAGGAACGTTTTCAGACTACAGCACCAGGGCAGGTCACTGCCCGCCTCTGGGTCTCGGGTACCACCTTGCCAGTGAGATGATGGCCTTCGTCCCTGCAGCACTGAGTGATCTCCTTGGACGGTCTCACCACCCCAGTGCTAATGCTGTAGGACCCGGCTCTGGGCCTTCCTCAAGGAACTGTGGGAACGGAGTATCTGCTGACAAACCAGCCTCAGCCCCTTCCCTCTCACAACAGCTCTGGAAAGCATCAGCCAATGAGTACCCACGCCCCAGGTCCACCAGGCACAGTCCTGCGAGCTGGGGCCCTGTGGGTGAGGCTCGCCCTGTGCCAGACACGGCCACAGTCCCCATTCTGCAAAGTGCAGTCTTGCCTCAGGACTGACCTGCCAAGGATTTGCGATTAGGCCCGTCTACGCCAACACCCCAGCGCCTGGCCACCCTCTTCCAGGGCTACCCTGTGAGTCCCCAGGCTCGGGGAGGGGAAGAGGCCTAGGGTCCCAATATGACTTCTGTCCAGCCTGGGTGCGGTTCCTGGCCCAGCCACCTACCAGCTGTGTCACACGGAGTTTCACTAACCTCCCTGAATCTCGGTTCTCTCACCTGTGATGTAGCCCAGACAGGACTCGCCCGTAGGCTTGGTGGGAGGTAAAATGACGTCATGGGTACCCTTAGCACAGTCCACATTAGATTCTCCATTTTTCTCTCTGCTGGTGCTTCCTGCTAGCATCCTGCCCCTTCCTGGGCTCACTTCGGAAGGCTGGCAATGAGCAATCCAGGCAGGGGTGAGGAAGGTGCTTGCCTGGGTTCCTCAAGCGCTGGTGTTAGAGACGCAGCTTCCTGTGTCTCTGTGGCACACGTGGTCGTGACGACGAGCACTTACTGAGCAAATAACATCCCCGGGAACCTTTGTGTTGCTTTTGTTTTAACGGCCAGAGAGCACGCGCACTCACCGGAGAGAGACAGAGAGACAGGCAGGGAGAAGGCACCTCCGAGTGGGGATGCGGTCACGTCACAAACCCTTCTCCATTTTCCATCTTGTCGAGATTTGGAGCACGCACACATGCCCGGCATGTTTTTCAAGCCACCAGGGCTAGGATTTGAAATGGGTGAGCATGTGGGATCTGGCTCCCTCAACCGTGAGGCTGTGGGGTGGTCCCTGAGTGTCTTATATACACAGCTTTTAGGGAGCAGGGTGAACCCAGGCAGTCTGTCTCCATGGTCTGGGTTCTTAACTATCCCACTGTTTTGTCCAGGAGGCTCACAATCAACCCCTGCATAGTATACAGGAGACCCCCAAAGGACACAAACAGTATCTTGTTCAGGAGTCAGGATCTGGCCTTGAGTGAGTTTCAGCAAGTTCATTCATTCATTCACTCATTTACCCATTCATTCAT